TTCTATTAAATATAAATTTTGCAGCTTCAAAAAACTTCTCCATATCTTCTTATACAAATTCTTCACAACATAATTAAATATTATATAACTACTAACAAAAAAGTCTGAATTCTCTTCCAAGATATGTTTAAGGCTTTTGATAAAATTAATATATCAAGACTCCAAGATACCTGTAAAAGAATAGGAATTTTTTCAACAGGAATCAACCTAATTACAGAACTACATTCTCATTGATTTGCTAGAGTAATTATTGCTTATGACCTTACTTTGCAAATACCAATTAACTTTGAAATTGAACAAGATGAATATACTCATTTCTCTTATAGAAAATTTATTATGACCTTATATTTTATTTTATTCAAAAAAACACCAAAACTATTTATTTAAAATTTCATGTTAATCTCTTATTGATATTATAACTAATACAACATCTCCTTTAATAACAATCTCATCATTGGCTTTTATGAATAATACCACCTAGCATTATAAAGTGTAAATATAATACAAAATATTATAAATAATACCTTTGAATTATACAAATTCAATAATATAGAAATTAATACTAACAAATCAAACCTACTTTACATTAAACTCAAATTTCTATCAAATCCAACTCACATTCTATTCAGAAAGCCTCAGGATGTAATTCAATATCTTGGTATTTTTTATAATAGCAAAGGATCTTTTAAACCAACACTTAACCAAATTTAAAACAAAATCAAAAGCTTTTTAACTCTTATTTGATACAAAAAAATAACATACTCACAAATTTCATTACTTTTCAACTTAGTTTTACAATCTCATTAGAATATTTACTTCAAATTATTTTAGTACACACAAATACACAATCTAAATTCTTTTGCTTTTTCACTATTCACATTAAAAAAAATGCTCTCTTTAGCAAAAAACACTAACAATATAATTCTTACTAACCTACTTACTTTTAATTTACCAATTTTCAAAATATTATTCAAAAAGTTAGTGCAGCTAATACTAAATAAATATTTAACACATTACCAATTCTTAAAAATATTGGCATCCAACAAATTAAAGAATGGCTAACCAAAATATGATTATCTTAATTGCATCAAATACTCTAACTAAACATTATCAAAAAATACAAAATTATACTTTACTTTTCATCTTTCTTACCTAGCTTTAAATGACATCTTACTCTCAATTATCTTACAAATCTCACCTTTACCCTCATCAATATCAAAAAATATTTATACTATTTATAACATTCTTCTTACCAACTTATCTACATCTACTATCAATAGTTTTAAAAATAATAAAATTATCTTTCTTAAGCAAATTACAACTGCAAACAACAAAAATATTTTCTTATGAAACAATATCTACTTATATACAAACAAACCTAATAAAAATTGTCAACCAAAATGGTTTACTCAAATTTTACACCTAAACCAATTTAATACTATAACCCAAACTTAGCCTCATATAAACCTTCCTATTACCAATATTTTTCTTAATACAATTAAACTAATATTATCACTTCTATCTTCAAACTCTCACTACTTTTATTATATACATTACACAAATAACCAACACTATATATCTCTTAACAAACCTCTCTACAACAACTATCATTTTTGAAATTTTTGCATCTACTTTAAAATTCTTACAACTACTACTAACCACTAACTATCCAACAACAAACTTTTATTCATTCTTTCTACCTTACAATATAGCCATCAAATCAAAAGATTCAATAACTATTTAAATTGACTTTAAAGAAATCTTAGCTCTAATCCATATACACAATACTACTATTACTTAATTGATTCTATTAATAAAACTACAAATACCACTTCCATTACATGAAGTCCAACTTATTCAACAATTTATCAATACACTATTATACCAAAAATATCTAACTAATCTAAATCACCTTATTATTTAACTTAATACAGATAAATTATATTTCTATACTGATAAATCAATTAAAAATCTACAAATTTCAGAAACCAAATGTGGCATAAGATAGATTTGTAAATATGATACATCTATAAAATTCAATTCAGCTATATAATCATATCCTAACTTAACCTACATTAAACTTGAAACAATCCTTACTCTCTTATTTGCAGTCCTATCTAACATTCTTTTAAATATTTATATTAATAATACAACTACAATTAGAAACCTTTATTCTATTACTGATCCCAAACCTATACAAACCAAAAATTAGAATACAATTCACTATATTAACTATCTTAAACACCTTAAAAACATTACTACTACTTTTCACTAAGTTAAATCACACTCTATAGACTCTTTTACAACCAAGCAGATTCACTTGCCAAACAAGGAACTGCAAAACTTATTCTCAAAATTAACAACTCAAAATTTAATACCCCAAACTATTTTATATAGAATAACTACCTAATCTCTTTTAAAGTTTATATTTTCATCAAAAACTCTATTACTATTTATGAAATTGCCAAATAGTCAAACCTAATATTTTTTCAAAACATCACAAATATCAAATAGTCATTAAAATTTAAAATCATCTTCTTACTTGAAAATAACTCACAAAAATATCAAAATTCTTACTAATAACCTACCAACTATACAAAATCTTAATATTTGTTACTTATACCTTTATATTACTTCAAATTGCTTTTGCTATACAAATACTGAAGATATTTTTTATTTATTTTTTTGTCCTAGTAATACTATAAACATTCTACAATTACTTAAAAATACAATATAAGATACTTTAATATCACTAAAAATTACTAATATAATTTCAATAATCTTACTAAATATTATTTTAAATTTTATACTCAACACACCAAATCCTTAATTCAAACATATATTATATATCAAATATATATTATTACTAAAACCTTTACTTCTACTACTTATAAAAATATCAAAATACTTATTAATAAACAAACTGATGACCTCCTACTTCAGCTCTCAAACAATCTATTAAACTAGTTTTATCAAGATCTCTGGTTTACTTGCAATACATACTAACATCAATAAGAAATATCCTGTAACATTATATTAAAATCTAAATATACCAAAATTTATTTACCAATATCATCAAATTCTCTAAACAATACAACAATCTCTTCTCAAACTATAAATACTAATTCTTTTATTATCAAATAGCTTATACAAGATTATTTACTAACTACTTGTATTCAATAATGTTCAGACAATCACTTGAAGGTCTTCTCCAATCTATTCTAGCTAGAATTTAATTTGAAATAGTTAGCTATAGCACTTATAGGAAATAGAAGATGTAATGTCATATTAGTTGCCAACTTGTAGCACAAATATAGTTTAGAAATCTTTAATTTTAGAACTTATGATTCTATATGTACAAAGTTTTTATTTGAACATTATATTAATAAAAAAAAAAAGAATTAATTTCTTTTTATGATAATACTTTTGTAAAAATAGATATAAATAATTAATTTTTTTTAAGAAAATATTAACTATTAGTATTATTTTAACTAAATTCATAATAATAGTTAGTTTATTATTATTAGTATTTAATATAATTTATAAAATTCTTTAATATATGTAAATAAGAATTTGTTTAAACTTGGTTTATTTTCTTAATAAGATTTGCTATTTATATGATTATTTATTATTAATTTGTATTTTTATTTTATAGTAAAATTACAAAATTTGTAAAATAAAATCTTATTATCTATATAAAAATATTCAAAATGATCTTTAATACAGATATATGAAAACATAACTTTATATTGTGTTATTTTTTTTATTTTACAAATATTTTTGGATATATTTTTTTGTACTATTCAATCAGATTTTTAATACTATAAGATTATTTTTGATAACTAAAAATAATGACTAATTACTTAAATTCTTCTTTAAAAACAGATTTGAATTTTAAAAAAATTTATATACTAATTGGTTAATTGATAAGAATTCTTTCAAATTGTATTACATTAGTAATCAAAATTTATTTTTTGCAAAAATGTTACAATTCTGCAAATTCTATGATATTGAATATTTTACAGAAAATCATTATTCTAAAACACAGACCAATTATATTTTAATACAGATACTTTTTTGATTTTAGAAAAGTTATATGATTACATCTAAAATTGATCAATAGAATTTTTAAAAATTTCAGTGATTAATTTTAAGTGCAGTAGTTATGTGACTTTTTAAAATTAAAAAAATATCTATGTCAAGATATGATTGGTTTTTATCAAAATTTACATTAACTTTTAACTTTTAATAATCAACTTTTAATAAGGGTTTTAACTTTTAATTTTCAATAAGATTTTTGATTTTTGATATAACTTTAACTTTTGGTATAACTATTAACTTTAACTTTTGGTATAACTATTGACTTTTGGTAAGACTTTTGGTATAACTTTCAATATAATAAAATACTTTCAGAGTTATTATTAGTCACTTCACACTTGAATATCTTCTGTAGTCACTTGGAAGAGTTTATTTCAGATCAAAAGAAGTATGTTAAATTTGATAAATAATTAATTTGATAATAATTAGATTCTACTAGCATAAAAGATTTCAAGTTGGTTAATAGATAAGTGTACTGAAATACTTTATGTAATTACAAGTTAGAAACAGATTAAGAGCTGCTCGATATATAGTATCAGACTTCTTTTGTCTTAAATTATGTAATGCTCAATCGAATATGTAATAAGCCCAATTATGATTACATGTTCAATTAATGATTAATAATTAATATAGTGAATAAAGATATGAGGTAATTGGTTAATTAATGTGGTCATTAATTATTTGATAAGAATGAAATAATTTGAGTAATTGATAATGGGTCATTGATGAGAGTATGATACATATGATTTGTACTTTTGTAAGTCTAAGATATTTGAGTAATTATAAGATAATTGGAATATAGTATATAAGAAAAAATTTGTAAAAGTATTAAAAGGTAATTTTATCTTTTCTGTGAACCTGACTTTTGTTCTAGTTATATCAAGCACTAACATAATTTTCTTATGACAGCTAATTCAGAAAAGAATAACGTTACTATAGCTGATGAAGAAACATCAATACTGTCAATTAATAATGTTGATCAGTTATATGGTCAAGTCAATTTCAAAGCAAATTTTAGCTGTCTTTCTCTTAAGATGCTGAAATTTTTATATCAAGAAATGGGTATTTCTGATATTAGCATTAAACAAAAATTAATAAGTAGATTAGTTAGTAAATATAAAGGTAGAGAGGAGTCATCTAATGACCTGTTTGAAAAAGAGAAGGTGATGAATATAGTTAATGTAGTAGGTAATACAGAAAACTCTCTTCCTAGGTGTAATTGGAATAATTCTAGTAATAAAAAAACTGACACAGAGTTTGGGAATTAGAATAGCAGGATTATATCATTTGTAAAGGTTTTCTGATAAGAAGAAGGTTTTGAATAGTGAGAATGATGAAATAGGTCTGTTGAGTAAGTGTAGTTTGTCAAAAGCAAGAAATCATTAGAAGTTTAATGAATGGTATAGAGCTGGTATGTTGATTGACAAAGTATTAAGCATGAGCAAGCTTAACTATCTGTTGTTAGCTAAGCAGGTAGCTCTAAAAAAAGTGTATATAGTTAAAGTAGTTGATAAAGATGGTTGGAAAGTTGTAACAAAAATGGCTTTAAATAATTTAGTAGATCCAATATCATAGCTTTTTAGTACAAAAAGAGAAAAAGTCAGGCTAGTAGCCCAAAGTTTGACAAAGAACAAAAAACTAAAAGTTTTTCATAAGAAAATCCAGAGAATAGTAGAGCAACAAAAAAACTTGCGAAGTTATTTTTCCAACTGGCAGCAAGGTCAATTAGTTGCATCTATATTTCTTCAGACCCAGCCTCTATTGGTACTGGCTTGGCAACAATTTTCTAACCAACAAGAGTTAGTTTTGGTTTCTCAAATTATGAGATTTAGTAGAGCAAATCCTTTCTTTATAGTGCAACAGCCTATGCAGAATGCATTTTTACAGGATTCCTTTTCAAAAAAGTAAGGCCTGTGTCAAAGTAATAGGTATTCTTCTAAGTTTGGGTTTAAAAATTTGATTGGAGGTAGAAAGTTTGATATAGCAAAGAAAGTGGTTTGCTATTTGTGTGAAGGTAAAGGGCATTATGCCTCTGAATATGAGTCATGTAAACACCTAAATTTGCCTTTTTGAGGAGACAACTCTAAACAAAAGAGAAGTTGACAATACTCAGAAAAGAGAATAAATTGGAAAAGAAGAAATATAGTGAAGAGGAACAGCAAGTTGTACATGATGGAAAGATTGCATTTAGTAAAGATGGTCAGGTATTGGAAAGAGGTAATAAAACCAGCTCTGTTAGTGTTAAAGTGGCTAGAAAAAAAGATTTCTCTTTTTTTGTAAAGAGTGATGAGTCTTGCTTTGAAGGAGGTATTTAAACAAAAGCTTTTCTCTTTGAAAGGGCAGGAATGGATAGACATGAAATTGAAAAGATTAAGGAAGGCAGAAGTGATCAAATTAGTAGCTCAAGGAAGTGCAAGACCAGAAGCTTTTCTGAAAGTAAGCTCTGTCTTTGTGGTCTTCAAACAAGGTCCCAAGAAATTCTGGTAGGTTATAGATCTCAGAAGGTTAAATAAGACATTGCCCAAAAAGGCTTTCAAGTTTGAAGATTTAGGAACTTTGTTAAGAATGATGAGCAGGAATTGGTAGGTACTGATCTTCTATTTGAAGAAAGGCTATCATCATGTTTTAATAGATGATGTAGCCTAACAGTTTCTAGATTTTTGTTTTAATAAGATGTAGTTCTACTACAAGATACTACTATTTGAACTGAACCAGTCTTCTTAGATTTTTGCCAAAATAATGAAAGCATTAATAGGAAGCTGGAGGGCAAAAGGAATTTTTTGTAGAAATTACCTGGATGATGTATGGATAGCACATCCATTAAAGAAAATATTTTTGAAATAAAGAGAAAAAATAATAGAAAGGAACTTGAGAGGTTGTATCTGGATCCATGCATTGAAGAAAAGGAACTGGGATTTTATTCAAACACCAAAATTTTGTGGTCTTGTTTAGAGGCATTGTTAGAGGTACTAAATGTTTTAGTCTGGAAACTGGTATCTGTGATAGAAAAGATACAGAGTCTAGCAAGAGCCTTTTTTCTTGCACAATTAAAATACATAGAGTTTTACAAGTTAATAGATGCAAAAACCCAGTTTTGAAACAATTAAAACACAGTTATTACACTATCAGTACTAGTGACAAAAGATATCTGATGGTTAGTAAAAAATTTAAGTATTTGGAACAGATGTTCTGCTTGGAAGCCTTCGAAAATAAAGTTATTATTTGTGAACACTTTAATAGTAATTAGTATATGATCTTTTAAGAGCTAGTGATAACAAGAAACTTGTCACAAAGGTTAATAGCAAATGTTATAACTCAACTCAAAGCCATTGCAATACTAAGAGCCCTCTAATCATTTGGGAACTAGTTAAAAGGTTCATAAGTCATGTTAATTATAAACAACAAGATGGCATTAAAGACAGTAGTAAACAGAGACTTATTACAATAGCAAAGAGATATTGTAAGAGAAATTTGGAAGTTGTGTGTAGAGCTGAATATGGAAATTTACTGTTCATAATGGATTACAAGTGAGCAGAACTCAGCAGATGAGTGATCACAGGTAATCAATTTTGAAGATTGGGAAATGAGGATGGATATCATAGACTTGGTATAAGAGAAGTAAAGGGTATTTGATATAGATAGGTTTGCAAACTACAAGAATGCAAAGTTGAAAAGATTCAATAACTTGTATTTTTGTCCAGGAACAAAAGCAATAAATTGCTTCACGTAGGATTGGAAGAGGTGCAGGAATTATGTTTACCCACCTTTTGGTATAATTCATCATGCCTTAGTTTATGTAAGGGAGTGTAAGGCATTAATAGTAATTATTGTACCAATATAGGTTGAGGCACCTTGATGACCAATAATTGTCTATACAGAAAGAGAGGAAATAGAGATACTACTACCTGTGGAGATTATTTTACTAGGTTCTTTAGGTTATATAGAACTATTCAACAACAAACTTTGAAGGTTGAAGACAATTTGAATAGATTGGTCAAAGAACTTTTAGAGCATATAGATAACTTGGTAGATAGAACTATTACTGTGACATATAAGAAAAGATTGGATAAAGCATAAAGTCGATTTGTTGAATTTATAAATCAAGTTGGACATAAGTCTTGCCTGATAACAGTTTCAACTTTGGTAACATTTTTAGATTGGTTGAATATATCGGATCAAAGTATAGAAATACAAAGATGTTTGGCAATGATTACAAGAGTGCATAAGTTAAAAGAACTATATGATCCAATTAGAAATAGCATTGTATAAGCATTGGTCAATAGCATCAAGAGGGTTGTGTCAAAGAATATAGAGGTGAAGTGACTAAGAGATCCATTACCAGTTGACATAGTTAAATTATATTTGAATATGTGCTAGATGGAGTTGGTTATGAAATATAAACTTGCAATTTAACATTAGTGGCATTAGGCTTAAGGATGATGAAATATTCAGGAAACTTTGTGAGTTGAATAAAAAGGATATAGAAATGAGAAATGGTTTTTTGTGGATAAGGATAAACAGGTCAAAAATGAACCAACTAGCAAAAGGAAAGTTTGTACTAGTTAAGATGACTAACAATAGGTATTGTCCAGTTACTAGGATAAGAGAATATCTGAGAGTAAGACTGAAAACAGTAGAGGAAACACTATTTTTTCTGTCTAAGTCTAGAGATAAAATATCTGTTTCATCAATTACTGCAATAATAAAATGGTTTGCAGAGCATGCAAGTTTGAAAAATAGGTTTACAGCTGATAGTTTAAGAATTGAAGATGCCATTGTAGCTATAAAGGATGGAATGTCTTTGAAGCAAATTCAAGCAATTGGCAGTTGGGTTTCTAATACTGCACAATTATACATAAGATCTGTAGGAACAGCAGAGTTAGGAGCTTCAACTTTGATGAGGTTTAATGAGGATTAGTAATATTGCTTTGCTGTTATGTTATTTGAAAATGTTTTTAGTTTGATTGCTGATTCAAATTTATGAATTTTTCTTTTATGATGCTCAAGAAGGACCTGTTATTGTTCTTCATAGTTTTTAAGTACAGTATACACAAAATGAGAGACAAACAAAAGAGCTGCTCGATACATAGTATCGGAGCAGCTTTTGTCTCGAATCATGTGATGCTCGATCGAACATGTGATAGGCCTGATTACGATCACATGTTCGATTGACGATTGACGATTGACGATTGATATAGTGAGCAAAAGTATGAGGTAATTGGTTAATTAATGTGGTCATTGATTATTTGGTAAGAATGGGATAATTTGAGTAATTGATAATGGGTCATTGATGAGAGTATGATACATGCGATTTGTGCTTTTGTGAGTCTAAGATATTTAAGTAATTATGAGGTAATTGGAATAAAGTATATAAGGAAAAATTTGTGAAAGTATTGAAGGGTAATTTTGTCTTTTCTGTGAACTGACTTTCGTTCTGGTTATATTGACCCACCCTCCTTTCCCATAAATTAAGCATTGTTGTAGTAGATTGGCCTGCCGGGACGGCAGTCATGTCTAAAAAGGGCAAGGATGGGTAGGTTTCACAGGTCTCACAGTGTTCACGATTTTTGCAGTTTGCAGATTTTGGAATTGTGATCTGTTGGGACAACAGTCGCAATGATGAGGTGGCCAGTTGGGACGACTGCTACAAATAATCGGAATAATTTTAAGGATAAATTTATAATGAGAAAGCGCTTTTTAGCAGCCGATACTCGCGAAGGCTGCGTAGGTTGCTCGATGGTGGAAGGGACTTACCCGTTATTATTCTTCATAGTTTTTAGGTACAGTATACACAAAATGAGAGACAAACAAATGTTATAGTGATTACTTTTAATAAATATATCTTGTTTATTATTTTACAAGCAATTTATTATGAGCGATTTATGAGAACCGTGTACTATGTATGAGTTGCAAAAAGAAATTTGCCCTTCCCGAAGGACCTTTTGGCCATTATTTATAACTACAAAGACTTATTTATATCCTGCAATGGATACGACTGATATCTCTGATGCGACCGATGCATCATATCCTACTGATATGCCTAAAAGACCCTTCTGGCTGATCGCTGCTATCCGTCATATCCGTCAGATTCGTCTGATCGGTCTCATGCGACAGATGCGACGAATGCGATCGACCTTTTCCTAGTTTAGTAATGGACCCCCAGACGGCCAGGTCCACAACGTAATCATGATTTGTTACATTTGTTGCGCAGTTTAATCAATAAAATGTTATTTTTGAAAATTTTATTATAACACATGATCATTAGCGTTTGGTTACATGCGTATGATGTACAGTCGTACGTATAGTTGGTGGTAGAATTACTGAATTACTGAATTACGGCATTCTACCATATGGTAGAATTAATTATGGCATAGCATCTAATTGCCGTAATTATGTGGAGGAGCCAAAATTCGGAAAATCGACTAAAATTCTGGATCGGTATACATCGGAACGTTTCAGCATTACTTATTACGACCTGTTTCTGATGAATTCCGATCCAGGCTTTTGGTCGATATGCTTAATTTTGGTTCCGTATTTATAATTGCGGCAATTACGGCAAAAAATACGGCACGTGCCGTAATTCGATAATTTTCAAAATTAATTCTACCGCCAACTATAGTCGTACGTACCTGGCTTATATCTCTACTGACTTATACACATTTAATATCTCAGTTAAGGTCTCAGCTAATATCCTCATATTTAAGCTGAATAAATTTTTTGAGATTTATATTTTTAATTATATCCAAATCCTAATTTTATCTCAAAAATAAAAAATTTACATGATATGACCCAGGTATGACTGTATGAATATTCCGTATATATTTAAATTAACTGTTATGATAAATATTCTATGCCAAAATTCAAGTTAAAAATATTTCACGATTTTAACTTTCAGGCTTTGATCCAGCTATTTCGAGAACTGTAGATGAAACGTATACACCTTCTTCTTTAGCTTGACGTCTTTCCACATAAGCATTAATGACCATGGCAAAATAAATCTATAGAAATCAAAACATTTGGATTTTAGTAATTTTTTTTTTGACATTAAATCTGATTCAAATTAAGAAAAAAAAGTAACTATACCGTAGTAATTATGACAAAAACACATAAAAATATGAATCCCAATAGTAAGCTAATATATGAAATATTACAACCGCGAATCAACTTGCTTTCATCGGCATTATTATTGTAGTAATTCGTTTTACAAAAGTTCATGTAATCATTTCTAAATGAAGCAATAATAATAACAATGTAAAGTAAGCCCAAAGATCTGAGTACTAAAAGAGCATAAACAAATCGAACGTAGAGCCTCAAAAGAGATGCATGTTTCTGTATAATTAAAAATAGACATTTTAATTTTTGAAATAATTTAGATAACAAACAAATTTACATACCGCGACGAAAATAACAAAAAGTCCAAAAGCGGCTACTATACACAATAGAGTATCCAAAACTATACCAATAGAGTATATACCTCTATCGATGACTAGAACAGAAAGAACGTTAAACTTGTTTGCAAAGTAAAAGAGAATAAGAAAAAAACCTTACAGACGGAGTTGTACACAATTTGTATTGTACTGTAAATGGAATAACCTATACCGGAGACCTGAATATTAAATATTTATCAGCTCATAGGGAAGTATACAGTAGGGACTACATAGCTTATACAATAAAGTTCAAAAGATACTTTCCAGCCAAAATAATGATATAATAATAACACCTGTTCTCAAAGGAATGCAACAACAACATTTGGTAATTACATTCATTTTCGGATAATAAAATTTCTTTTCAAAATATATTCAATAAAAACGAAGTAAATCGTTCGATTAGGCACTTATAGCTAAAAATTCAGTCCTAAAATAGACATGATAAAAAATTTTAATTCGTGTTTTGCATTTTGCTTTCATTGAATTTGAACTCCGTGCGACGTCTTCTCAAAAAGAAGACTTGTATATAATTTTTGCGCTACATGGAAGGAGATGCCTGAATGAATGTATAAATATATATAATAATTTGCTCCTATATATTATCAATAATCGTAAATATGTATCTGCACGCAGTGATGTACATTTTTGGTATCAAGTCTTTTTAGAACATTCTGTGTCAAATATCCAAAATTTGATAATTAGTATATTATGCGTATAAAACCTAAAGATGCAGTTGGATTTTAATATATTTAAGATAAATAATGATACATTAATTAGTTTATAATGAAGAATTTTGATTTTTTTTTTTTTTCTTTTTTGATGACTATATTTTATTTAACCCCTTTGACACCAATTTTGTACCGATGAATAGTTAATTTCGTACAAGAAAATAATGAAAATTTGTAATCTTATTTTGAGTTTGGAACCGGTTTTCGTTTTTCGATTCGAATTATTTAATTAATAAAAACATGCATTAGATTTTAATTCGAATTTATTCGATAATATCTGGTTGCGCCTAGGTTGATAGTAGCATCATTGTATGTACGTACGTAAATGCACTAAGGGAAAATATTCGATTACTTAAGAACAAAAACTATTTATAATTATAGAATTCTATAGGTAGTCGAATACTTTTGTTCACTATGCGTTTGTACAAACAATGTGAGTATTGCAGACTCGATAGCTTGGTTTTAAATCCGAAGAATAAATCTGGTTACAAACTCTAATCTTATTTTGGTTGTTCTTTTGTAGAGTTTGGAACCTTCGGATTTAAATCCGATTCTCTTCGGGTTCGATTTAAATTCAGATTCAAAGCTGATTAAACCGAATCTATAACAGTAATCATTGACAATATCGACATTAATGTTTATTTTTGAAAATAAATAATATCAATATCATGATTTGCATTAGATCTCTTCAATTAATAAGTTTTATGCTCTTATAGAACGTAGGTTCATTTGGAAGACGATTAATTTAACTTATTCTTAGGCTTTACGATCTGTAAAATATTTTGATTCTCTGTAAGAACCAAGTTTATATGGGAAGCAATAAACCAAATTTTGAGCTTGTTTCTTGCAATATTTTGCAGAAGCTAAAGTCTATATAAAATGCAATTAAGTTTTAACTTATTGTTGAACTTTATGCTCAGCCTGTTCTTAACTTTACATATGTTCTTATGCTCTTATAATAACCTGTAATATATGATTAGATTACTGTAAAACTAATATTCATATAGAAAATAATTGCTCAACCTATTTTTAGATTTTATTTTTTTATGAAATTATTTCTTATAAAGAGTGAAAGTTTATTAAAATAATTAATAAAATTTTATGAATTCAATTAGATGAATAATGTAGCAAATAAGCAAGTTTGATCATATCCAAAATAGTTTTTTTATTTGTTTTATTTTTAAACCTTTATATTAACAAATCAGATTCTTCTATCTTTGAAATTGAAACCTCAACATCCACAAGTTTGAATCTTGTAAAAAATTATAAAAAACATAAAGACATACCTCTTATTTTTTCTATAAAGACCCTAAAAATAACGATATACTTTATTGTATTGTATATAAAAATTTCAATAGTAAAAATAAGAAATTTTATACATATAGTTACAAAGTAAGTATAATTGCAAATATGATTATTTATTTATAGAAAAAAACACAGTATAACAAACCAAAATTTTAGAATATATTTAAATATAAATAATAAAATAAAAATTATATATTTAATACTATTGTATTATTATAAAATAATGCTTCAGATATTATTTTATAATGATATAGCATTTAATGTTTTTTTATTAAAATAAGAATAACAAGTCTTTTTGATTTAACTAAAAAAAGTTAAATATTTTTATTTTAGTACAGTAAAATTAAGCAACAAAAATTGGTACACTTTTCATTAAATTTATAATAAAATTTATACTGTCTTTATATATTTTTCAAGATAAAGTTTGTTATAAATTTGTTTATTGTAAATTTGTTTATTGTTGTAAATCTAAATTTTATATTTTATATAAAAAAACAGTTAAAAATTAATTTATAAATCATATTCATACAGCAAAGATAAATTATTTAACTTAATTTTTAATATATATATTTTAATTCACTTTACAACTAACTTTTAAATAGCTAAAAGCAACTACAAATATATTAAAATAATAGCTATTTATCTCAATTTAAAATTTAAATTTTATAAGATTTTATTTACTTACAATGTTCTAAATAATTTATATATTGATAAAATTGTTAGTAAAGAGTTGTATTATGTTATTTAGTATTAGAAACTTAATAAAAGTTTTTAGTATTATTATAAATAATATATAAACATGATAAAATTAGTTTATCTTCTTAAAAATTCTTTGTTAATTATAGAAAAACAACTTTATATAGTTTTTTTTTAATGTTAAGATGAGTATATGTAACCTAGAATTTTATTAATAGTATATATTAGCTAGCATCTGTTGAAATTTTATCAGTCTGACAGCATTGTCAAAAGTTTTGTGCTACCTCTTTACTTGGTATTTCCAAGTAGGATTCTGACTTTTCAGTTTCTTTATTTTTTGTACTTAGTAGTCTTATCATAAGTATATACTAAAGTTTTATACAATACTAGTTATTAACATTCCTCTATATAGGTTTAATGTTACACTTTGCATAGATGCCCTAAGCCTCAACTTGAGATGATGCAACTGAAGGTTACAGATACACTAATCCAACTAATCAAAAAGACAGTTACTATAACACAGATTATTTTTCAAAATTTATTATCTATAAAATTTAAACTCTAGATCTGCTACTTGAGAGTTGACAACCTAACCACTTTACTAGATTACTACATCTTAACTTTATATAGTTTATACTTTGAAGTAATATAAATATATATATAAAGATATTAAAAATTTATAATTATTTTTTAAATATTAAAACAAGTATAATAATTAAAAAAAACATAATACAAAAGTAATACAATTAAAAATAATAAAAATATTAAATATAAATAAAGTTTTTAGATATATTATTTAATATTAAAACTTAATTAAATTTTATTTTTATTACATAAAAATGACTTTTTAAATTATATAATTTAATATATTTAGTTTTAGTATTATTGCTAACAAAGTCTAATTATATATCTTAGTTAAAAGAGAAAAACTTAGAAAAATTATATTTAATAATTAAAAAAAATATAAGTATAAAAAAATCTTATATAACAGTTTTCTGCTAATTAAATACTATATAAATATTTAATATTTATACTAATAATCTTATCTTAGTATTATATATATTATATATTAGAAAATACTTAATATCTTATATATATACTATTTATATAATCTTTAATTATACTAGGAAAACAGATGCTATTGTAAATCTAAAGTAAATTAAAAAAATTATTTAATCATTTTAATGATTAGTCATAGAACAAAATCTGGTTTAGATATTAGAAAGTTTATAAACATGTATCAGTCATATAATCCTAATATTTCTAAATATTATAGACACATACCAATAACTAATTTTATATGTCTATAGACTTCTCTCTTAGACATTTAGTATGTATCAGGTAATATAACATAATTATATAGATAGACAAATGAACAAAATTTAGCTTAGATATTTAATATATATCATATAATAAAATTTAATCATATAGATAGACAGACAGACAAAATTCAGCTTAGATATCTGTATATGTCACATAACATCATGTTGTTATATGGGTGAACAGATAAACAAAAGTTGGCTAAGTACCTAAAATATAAGTCCTTCACTATGCTCTAAACAATTAAAAATTTGCAATAAAGTCTGTTAATATTACTTATATATTAAACTAATAGAGAATTATATTTTTTATAATTAAATTTAATATAAATAATTTAATTTATAATTAATTACAGTTATAAAAAATTCATTTTGAATTAAATATTGTTTCTGTTATAGCTTAAAGGCAGGGGGCATATAGATCATTTTTACATTATAATTTATGATATATATACAGTATATTAAAATTTTTATCTAAAATTGATATATGCTATTAATAAAACTTTTTTATTTTTTAATTAATCAATAAAAAAATTTTATAATATTATAAATAAAATTATTTATCTATTATAGTAAAATTTTGAAATATTGTATTATTTTAAAAAAATATATTTGTATATATAATAAAGTTTACTTAGATGAGTTAAAATTTCTTTAGATAGTACAAAAAATACAGAATTTAATTGATTAATTTACATAAACCTATAAGTTAATTTTATTATATAATTTTATATCTTAGTCTTTAAAATTTTATATCTCAATAAGTTTTTAACTATTTTTGATAATTTTATTAGCATTAGAATTAGAAAGCCTACTTTACAACTCTTACTTAATTATTAAAATTAGTTTATATAATATAATATTTTATAAAATTAAATATAAAAAAGAATTACCATTAGGTTTATATATAATTTTAAAGTACTGACTCCTACTCTTAAATTTTATTTAATTTTATTTATATATTATTTTTTTTGTTAAGTTGGCCACTTTGGTCTTTTGATTTTTATTAATATTTTTATAGTAATATAGTTTTATAAACTATTACTTAAAAGCTACATATATAAATTTTCTATAATATTTATCTAAGAAGTTATTTAAAGATTCTTTACCAATTGTCACATCTAATACTTCTGCTTGAATGTTCTATTTTAAACTCTTTGAATCTGCAACTTATATTAACTTTATTAAATTATATCCAGATTAACATCTCAGGCTTAGAACTATTATATTCTTAAAATAAATATTTTGAAGTCTTTTATATTTATTTTTACAACTAACAAAGTATTACTATAGCAGAACTAAAACTTATAAACAGAGCTAACTATCTAATACTATGCATTTATAGAGTTTACTCAAATCTTAGTACTACTTTATAATATATTTAAAATACTTTAATATACTCTGTATTGTTATTAGACTTTCAACTCAGATAGCTTGCTAGAATTACAACCAGTCTAATAATATATTAGATTAGTTTAATGTCTTTTTTTAGTCTATTCTAGTAGCCTAGTTGGTAATACCTTATCTAGAAACTTTTACTTGTTCAACTTCTTTATACTGGTATCTCTTTTATAAGCCTAACCTTTATAAAAGTATTATTAAAGATTCATGATACTTTTTTGTACAAATTTTTCTAAATATTTCTTATTTCTCAATTTCAATAGATTTATATAGTTACAAGAACTTATTTAGAGTTTATATTGCCTAATGCCAGTTTGCAGTTCTTTGTATAACTAGTTATACAAATACTTCATAATCTACTGATTATGCTAATATGATTATTATTATAGTTCTATTACTAAATCCTGTTTTTTTTTTATATTTAAATACATACACAAATAAAAAAATTACAAAGAATAATTATTCAAACAATCAAATATTAAAAATCTATAAATTAATATATTTTCTTATATATTTTTTGTTACTATATAAATAATTTAGTAAATAGTTATAAAAAGCTTTCTTATGCAAATTTAATTTAAGTGAAAATTAGTACTAGTATAAATAGAAAACATGGTTTAAATTAATATATATATAAATTTTATCTCATCAGATATAATAATCTAATCACATATTTAGAATTTATATTTCACTTAAGTTGCTAGTAAACTACACTTTATACTCCTGTTATTTAATCCACATTTATTTTTAAATATATTACAACAAAAATATTTATTTCTGTACAAAGTATAAGTTATTTGCTAATATTATATATATAATAAAAAGCTAAGAAATAATATATATATAATATATTTGAAATCTGTGATATCTGTAATATTTATGTTTTTTATGCTTTGGATACTTTTAGAGACTTTGCTAATTTAACTATTTATATTCAAGTTACATATACAAGAATTAGTACTTTATCAAAATTATTCTGATCTTGTGATTAATATTATATAATTTTATGTTCATTAAAACCATTATGATGAGCTAAATCTAATGTTAGTTGTTTAATTCAATTTGGTTTGATATATTAAAAATTATAATTAAAAATATAAAACTTTTAATATTAATAATATAATATTAACTTGAACTCAAACTTAAAACTTAGTAATAGTTTGGTCATAAATTTATAATAAAATATGCTAAAATTTTTTTATCTTCTTTTGCTTTTTAAAGGTTCTTAGCTATTTTTAGAAACTGTCATATTTTTTAAAATCTAGAGTTAGTATTTTATAAAAATTATCAGATAGTATATGGCCTCTGCATTTTATTGGACTCATAAAATAACTTATATTTTATCAAGTTTGCTATATAACAGACTAGGTTTCTGTTCTTATAGTATAAGACTTATTATTTTCTTTAGTTTACAGTTTTCTAACTTTACATAACTTACTAGCCAGATAATTTTTATATTTCAAAGTTCTTAATTCTATCATTATATATTCTTGAATTGGGCTTTTTTAATGTTAATAAATTATGTCTTATCTGTTTGTCTCTAACCTTATAACTATGTCAGTAACTGCATTTTTTTTATATAAATATTGTTCTTACTTTTAAATAAAAGTCCTTTATAGATCTTTTGTCTAATTGTTGTCTTGACAGTATTGTTGCTACCTTTTGAACTCTAATTCATAACCTTTTAATTGAAACTAAAAGTGCTAATTACTGTGCTATCAATCTACAGTTCAAATATGACAACTTATTATAGCAAAATTTTTATTAAATTGATTTATTATAGTAATAATTAGGATTCAGAAAAATTGTTGTTATAGAATAGTAGATTTAAATCTTATTAA